AGACTCGCAAAGCGATCCTACAGTCTCGTCCTAAGCGACAGGTAGGAAACGATACTGTTAACAACGGTCAGCGAGGAACAAATTCTACATTCGTACCCATAGGTACAAATATCACCACTGCTTCAAATTCTTCATCTGTGACTGCTACCCGTGCTGCTAACAATGTTCAGCGAGTGAATGGAGCTACCTATGCTGCTATTGCAGCGGGTGGAAATCAAAATACTAGCCAACATAATTCTAACGGAAATTATTAAAATTTTGACTTAGGAAGCATTACTGCTCCTGAAATGGAATTTTTACAGAAATATTTAATGGACATTATTATTGAGATGCTCAAAACTATCTCCATGTTTGATACTATTCAAACTGGAGTATAATTTGCGAACAATATCGTCAAGACTTTGAAATTGGGTAATGGATTTTAAATCATTGAATATTATGAATTGGAATGCTCGATCTCTTAAAGATAATGAGGACGAGCTATTAAACTTTTTGAGAGTTCATAGCGTGCACATAGCCGTAATAACTGAAACGTTCCGTAATTCTGATCATATGGTTAAAGGGGACTCAAATTATTTAATTTATCGTAATTATTATCTCAATGAAGCCTATGTTGGACTTGCCATCATTGTTGATACACGTAGCAAAAATCAAATTATTTCTTCATTTGAATCCAAAGCTATTGAAACTTTGGGAAATTCTGTTGAAACTAATTAACGTGTATAGCTGCCTATTTGCCATTCCAATACGAAGGCCAGCAAAAGAATTTTCTCAAGGGTGACCTTCAGAAACGCACCCATCATAGGTCCAAATTCTTCATTTTTGGGTATTTTAATGCAAAACACCGCTCATGGAATAATGCTGAAAGCAATTCCAATGGTAATATTCTGTTTGATGAATGTTCTTCAGGTTATTAGAGCTGCCTCAGTACCAAAATGCGAGGTTAAATTCGATTCAATTATAATAGACGATGATCTTCAGCTCTTGATCCGTCTGAAAAATGTCTGTAGAAGGCAATATGATACGCGATTCTGCCATGAAAATTATTGTTATAGTTATCAGGATTTTCAAAAACAAATTATAAAGCAATCCTCTGTCCTGTGGAACTAAACTTTTGAAAATAATGTTTCGAAATTAGACCCGAATTCCAAACCCTGTTGGAAGCTCACAAACATTAAAAAAAAACTCAAAAGCCTATTCCAGTGCTTAAAGAAAGTGGTAATATTTTGATCACAAATTTGGAAAAAGCTCAGAAACTTGCTAAGCAATTCGAGAGTTCCCATAATTTCAGTTTGGGTCTTACTAGTCCTATTGAGAATCAGGTTGCTCGGGATTTTCTGAATATTTTCTCTCGGGAAAATATTTTTGATGATTCCTGGGGGACTGATTTAGACGAAAAAAGATCTATTTCTGACAATTTTCAGAATATGTAATATGTTTTTTTTTTTTTGGTAAAAATATTTAATAGATGTTTTCATACTATTCTAATAAATGGGAAAATGCAAAAGTTTTTCCAATTTTGAAGCTGGATAAAATCCAGCTGAAGCTTCTAGCTACTGTCCAAAAAGTTTGCTTTCTGCAATAAGCAAATTTTTTTGAAAAAAAAAATAATTCTAAATAGAATAATGCTTCACATCAACATGGACTCAATTTTTGCAAATAAGCAGTTTAGATTTCGCCATGGGCATTCAACTACTCATCAACCATTAAGAGTTACAAATTTAATTCCTTCAAACAAATCTGAAGGCTGCTTAACTGGAGTTGCTCTTCTGGACATAGAAAAGCATTCGACAGTTTTTGGCATGAAGGTTTGATTGCTAAATTGAAAAAGTTTAATTTTCCACTTTATATTATGAAATTAGTTCAAAATTATTTAACTGACAGAACTCTGCAGGTAAATTATCAAAATTCCAAATCTAATCGACTACCTGTTAGAGCAGGAGTTCCTCAGGGTAGCATTCTTGGGCCTATATTGTATAACATTTTCACTTTGGACCTCCCTGATTTGCCTCAGGATTGCCACAAATCTTTGTTCGCTGATGACACAGGCATTTCCGCTAAAGGAAGAAGTCTTCGTGTTATTTGCAGCAGACTGCAGAAAAGTTTAGATATTTTCTCTTCTTATTTACAAAAATGGAAGATTTCTCCCAACGCTTCCAAAACTCAACTTATAATATTTCCACATAAGCCTAGAGCTTCCTTTTTGAAACCTAGTAGTAGTCACATAGTCACTTTGAACGGAGTTCCAATTTCCTGGGCAAACCAATGAATTAATTTCCAATATACACACTAAAAAAATCTGAATTTTCCTGGTGATGTAAACATCCATGCATGCAAACATTCATGCATGTAAACTTCCTTTTCACGTCAAATAGCAGCTTGCCAGAAATGTTGCAAACAAAGGTGGAAAGTTGCATACAATATATGGAATATTGCATGACATGTCTCATAAATTTACACGATTTATAATGTAAATTTGTATGATTTATGACGCTCCATTTATGTGCATCATAGTAACGGAAATTTACATTTTTTTTTAGCTGTGTAATATTTCTAAAATCTCATTCATAAGGCTCTCCTGAGAGAATAATCAAATTCATATAAAAAATCTGGCTTGAGATTCTCTAGCACCTTCACGCACTCACAAACATCTCCAAAAAATCATTCATAGTTAATACTCCTAAATACCACTCAAGCGTCAAATTATAACATGCACATAAATGTTTTGTTAATTTTCTATCAAAAAAAGCAAAAATATACAATAAAATGCTCAAATGTAATGCAATACATTTTTGAATCAAGAATTTCAAAGAATACAAAGAGTGATTTTCAATTGTTTTAAGCAAGAAATTCCCAATGTGTTCTGTACAGAATTCTGATTTTCCTGGCTACTATTTCTAGGGAATACTGGACAAAATCATAAGATTATTGAGAAAAATCCTCTGAGTAAAATTATTTTTGAAGTGTCCTAGTGACCTGGACCCTACCTATCGACCCATCAACTCATGAACCGGGGACCAACGGCTTTATTTCCCATCCGAAGGAAGGCGTGATCAGAGATGTTATGCCTCAGAACATCCCGGCGGCGCCGACTGGGATTGAACCCAGGCCTGCTGGGGTGAGAGGTAATCACGCTTACCACTACACCACCGGCGTCATTGATCTCAATTCCAATTAAATTATTGGATATTTTACAATCTTTCCCAGTTGTTTCTGTTTGATTGCATCGGCTCATCGGAAATGAGAAAATGATGAGAAGGAATTGCCACATTGGTGTCTATTAAATACTTACTTAGTTGTTTCCGAACAAATTGCTTTTGGCAACTGGCAACCCACATGTTGAAAGAATACCAATCTGCTTCAAATGAATCAACAACAAGGAACATTTATTATCCGAAGCTATCAGTAGTCAAAGCATGATTGAATAGGACTTAATGGTGCTGATCAATATTGGCGTAGCTCTCTCCATGCGGGTGGTGGCCGTGTCCCTTGCGCTGAACATGAGCCTGGAATCCATGGTGGTGGTCCGAGCTGTAGTCAACGACGCGGTGGGTGCCATCGGCCTCATCCAGAGTGTACTGTCCCTTCACGACATCGCCATCGCGATGCTCCCAAGCGCTCTTGTGATCGTGGGTGTGTCCATCCTTGACTCCGTACTCGAACTTGTACTTGGGGTGGGTGTGATGGTGATCCTCATGATGACCGTGATCTCCTCCGTAATGCTGGGCAGAGGCAATAACGGCCAGACAGGCAATCAGAGCAATGACCTGAGGAAATTATAAAATGTGACTTTTTCAGATTAAGATCGAACGTGTGCGAGTGACTTACTTTGAACATTTTGGATTTGATTTGTGTTTGTCTGTTGAACAACGCTTTGAACACTGATGCTTCCTACATCTAACCGTAGAACTTTTATACCCCCAGCTGGGTGATTTCCATTTCTGAATTTCCACCGTATTGGTTTACCTATGCTTAGTTTAACACCCCCCAAAAGCCGAAAAAAGCAAAATCCTCTGGTATGAAACTAATTGGAAAATTCTCACAACTGTACCGTTCGCGTTCACCGACAAAGTCCGTTTCCACCACTTGCTTCGGGCGTATTAGCGGGCGACCTTGGACGCCACTCAATACCAAATGTCCGAAATTGCCTGTCCATATGACCCCACCCTGCAGTGTATGTTTGACTTCGGTTGTTTTAGTTTTCATCTCGCCGTTCGTTACATTATAGTGAAACCACTTGGCCTGGCTAAATTACATTGAATAATGTGCTCATTACGGTAAATGACCGGCGTTTAATACGCGATACGCGGTTTGCAACGCTTTCAAGCCGGTCAATTAAATAGCTAGCCAGCAGTTTAATAAATGACATAATTTTAAATCAATTGCCCCAAAAGTTCGCAAAAACGTACATCAAAATCCGCGTTAAATTTCACCTTCTGACACACGGGAGGGCAAATTGCTTTTAATGACAACCACGACTAGGCACTTGTGCCTCCTGCAATATGGGGCATTTCGTAACCTCCCATCATTGCCTTCGAAAATTGACCCGAAAAAAAGAAATGTAGCGTCACGTTGATTGAAGGGCCAATTTTCCAACCGAACTGAAAAACGAAGAGACAGCCAAACTGTCTCCAAAAGTACACCGTCGTGGCAGTGAGATGACCAATTAACCTGTTATCACATCACATTTTCGTCGTTGGCGTCTGGCTTGCATCGTCCGGTGTGGATCAGGTGTGTAAGACGCATTCGAGTCTCAATCTGTCTATGCTACAATTCGACGGCGTGGGAACAATTTATGACATAATCGGACATGTCCATATTTTTGCCGGTGCAACCGTAATGCGTCACTGCAAAAATGATTCCGAGCAATCTGAACGAGACGAAAAGCGACGAACCTGGGGTCAGAGTGTTTCTTCCTTTTTGTGCTTTATTACCCGAACAAAAAATGCATAACTCAATTTTTACAGACTATTAATTATCTCTTTCGTCTTTCTTTGCAGTACTTTGATGTGCCAAAACAGCAGTACGTATTGTCGAGTGCTCCTCCAAAGGCTGTGCATAATGTTAACAATAATGGTAGCCCCAATCATCTGTAGAGCAGACGGCACAGCAGAAAGCAGCATAATGAAAGCTGAAGGGTAGCATTTACGAGGAAGCGAGAGTAAATTTTCCGACTTAAACAAAACACAAAACAATTTGACACTTACTACTAAGTAGACGCACCACATAACGCACCACAGACGAGCGAACCCGTTCAACGTTCGACTGATGAAGCAGAACGAGCGCATTTCAGCTGCACAGTTTATTTTTATGTAGAAAGGAATAATTTTGATAAAGACTTAAAATAACTAATTGCTAATTTGCATAGAGGTTACCATCTTCACTGAATTCTAACCAGAGGATAAAGACACTTGTTTCAATAGTTGGTAGGTTAACATGACTTTAGAAAACAAAAATTAACTCATCAAGACCCTTGCTTGGAATTTCGGCTATTTAGAAAAAACTGGCATATAAACAAAGCAGAATACTAAGCTTTTTAATTTTTATTTGAGATATTTTTAGCCGAAGGCTAGATCATTTCTAAAAGAATACTAAGCAGAAACAGGCAGAAGAAAAACATTATACTTCAGTATCCTCTTTCACGGATCATTTCATCCAATGAATACCTCCGTAGACAAGTTGTTTTAGTAGTTATGCTGCTCCCTTGGTAGAGTTGACGTTTAGCGCTTTTTAAATCACACTTAAAATCAGAGATGTCCCATTTTTTTAACTACTCGATTAACAACTAATTGATTATTTTTATGTTCACTGTGCTGTCATTTCTCCACCAATGAGAGTGCAGAACATTCCTGCAGCGATGGACGATGATCCCCTGGAGAAGTAAATGCTTACTTGGCATGATGTAACCGATTGAAAATATTTTACATTTCGGTTCGTTAATCGATTAGGCTAACTTGTCAATTGTTGCACACCACCCAATTGTTGCACACCTCACATTGTTTACTGTACAGTATTTATCCCTGACTATAAAGTTTTCCGATCATGATGACTTGCTAACCAGTGGTCAGTTGTTGAATTATAAAAGATGAGCTTATGATACTCAGTATTAGGAATATTGTGATGAAACATGTTTAAAATATTTGTTACATTGTTCATGGGCCATTCCAGCTCAAGTGGGTACATAATTTAAAAAAGTTGTGGTCGATGTCACCGATTTGAGCCAAAATTAGCCAAAACTCTTATTTTGGCATTCTTAACAAACGCCTTTCTTTGATTTTACTCTGGAGTGCCTAGATCCTTCTGGGCTAAAAACCCTGGATTTTAGAGATTTTCAAAAATTTCATCTTTCAGAAGAGATTTCTGCACAACCAAATAAGCAAATAAACAGTGATCTTAGTACGTCAATTTGAAGGATTTTTAATGTTAATTCTTATAGGTGTACTCACATTTTGTTTTTGTAGTAACTACAGTAAACAGACTAATTACCGGTAGATATCCAAATTGTCAAAAAATGGCCTATTTTCACCATGGGCGGGATTTTTTATTCCCTCATATTTTGGGCTCAAATTTTCACCACACTTTGGAAATCTCTTCTACTTAATGTGGTCCAAGGGCAAATGGTTTGGACAAATGGTTTTTGAGATATTACCAGATGAGTAAAATGTGAGCTTTTCTGGTTGAAAATCAATGGTATTCATTTTTTTTCATAAATTCCTTCACACCGATGACACAATAATATTGTTACGTTATTTTCACATGTTCTGGGCAGAATTCTCATTACATTAAATAGTAACTAGCTCATTTATTTACTTATGTCCATAATTTAATTGTGGTCCTAAAAGTGAAAAATACTTTCCTATGGGATACAGCCAAAACGTTGTGCTTTAGAAGTACAATGAAATCAGATAGATTAGCAGGGGAAGGAGGGGCATAGTGAGCTTGCTGTGCTTTAGCTTTGGATTTCTTAAGGTTCGAAACAAATTAATTGGTCATTGATCATTACAATGGTGATATTGAACCAATTTATTTGTTTCAAACAATAAGTGGTGTGGGACTAGATTAAGGGATGCTCATTATGCCCCACCTACTCAGTATGCCCCTCTTACCCCTACATAAAGAAAATTTCAGTTGTGGACGACAACTACCACTTGAATAATACCCTTTAATTTATTTTTTTAGAAACAATCTCACGAACAGGAATACTTTTTTATAGTTGAGGGGATTAGAAGGAAAGGGGTGTAAGTGACATTGATCGATTCTCTTCATCGACTTTCTTTTTCGTTAATAATTCAGCTGTAAACACATTCTTTGATTATGTGCCATTCTGGAGGCTAGATGAGAACCTCCTTTATCAAACTTTGTGGCTGAAATAGCAAAATCTGTTTATAAAGCTGTGGCTATCAAAAGAGAAAGTCTAAAAAAAATAATTAACTACTCAAATAAGGGTATTATTCAAATAGAAGCTGTCATCGACAACAAAAATTATAAAAAACCTGCTAATCTATCTGATCTCATCGTACTTCTAAAGCACAACGTTTTAGCTTTATTCCATATATACCGGATTTTTCACTTTTAGGACCATTATGTACAGAAGTAAATAAATGAGCTAATTATTATTTCATATAATGAGAATTCTGCCCAGAACATGTGAAAATAACGTGACAATATTATTGTGTCATCAGCGTGAAGGAATTCATGAAAAATAATTAAAAAAATTGGATACCATTGATTTTTAACCAGAAAAGCTCAAAACTACCACTTACACATCTGGTGATATCTCATAAACTATTTGTTCAAATCATTTGCCCTTGGAAACACATCTAGTGTAAGAGTTTTTTTTTCCAAGTGTACTGGAAATTTCAGCTCAAATAATAAAAAATAATAAAAAATCCCGCACATGGTGAAAATATGGCATTTTTTTACAATTTTGATACCTGCTGGTAATCAGCCTGTTACTGTAGTTACTATTACAAAAACTAAATGTTGGTACACCAATAAGAATTTACATTAAAAAACCTTCAAATTGACGTTCTAAGATCACGAATAGCTTATTTTGTTGTAGAGTAATCTCTTCTAAAAGATGAAATTTTTAATGATTTCAGGCGATTTATTAATTTTTCTGGTATTAATCTTCAGTTGTAAATTAAGCTATTTCAAGCTAAAAAAAAATGAATTTAGTAATCTTTAAAGGAAAATTTTGGTAAGTGTTTTATCTAACGATCAATTGCAATATGTCTATTATGGTTCAATTTACTTGGATGCTTTTTGGAAAATTTCAAAAGCAGTTTTTTTCCGACGCATTATTTCAGATTGTAAAAAGCTCGCAATATTCGATTCATTCATGCGTCGAAAAAAAAACTGTTTTTGAATTTTTAAAAAATGCATCAAAGTAAATTGAACATTAACGTTATAAATTTTTCAGAAAAAATAATAATAATAATTGGTCACATTTGGACTCTTGGTCCTGGATTATTGTATATGGCGATAACTCTTGAAGGTTTGCAACGTGTTATATAAACATACAGAAAACATACGTTTAATCATCTAAAAGAATCACTCAATCATTATGTTTGCTAAAAAATAATTATACCAAGATACATTTAGCCATGTCAATCATAGAATTTTAAAGCAAATGATACGGGAAACCATTGTACTCTGAGGGACAATAAAGTGTTTTACTATACAGCATGATTTTACCAATATAAATTACTGATGAGCCCTGTAAATGCATCATGCAAAATTACCAAAAGTACGTGCTTCCCAACTAAGAATTTTCACAATGTAAACGCTTTTCTCATTTCATTTATATAGCATTAAGCTGTATTATAATGCTATACGATGTGAGGTAACCTTTACTCAACCTCTAAAAGAGCAAATCTGGCGAACTTAGTCAGCTATTTATGGCTGTTGGGACGGTTGGGACAAGCTCTTATGCATATCCATTTACGTTTCTATACAGCTGTTATCCTGCAGTTTAGTTGTGTGCAGGGCTGGAAAGCACCTCAGAGCGTTAGGAAAGCAACTTGGTGTATGCATCTCACAACAATCAAAAAAGAGTGTGTGGTTCTCCCATTTACTTCGCTCACTCTTTTCCAACTAATCTGTGAGAAAGCGATCCACACAATGAGCGGTACACTCCGTGCGGTCGCAGGGAGCGAATATAGTACAGCAAGCGCTAATGTCTCCTTTGAATTCTTTGCAGACTTTGCATGCATAGAAGATGAATAAGAGCATAACAAAGAAGATTTTTGTCTTGTTGCTGGGTTTCCCATTTGTAACCCTACACTGAGTGGCGCTCTTTGCGTCGGAGCCGTGGGAGCGATGGCTACACATTGAGCTTTCGTTATTTCTGGGTGTGTGTCTGTCTTCTCTTCTCAGCTGCTTTAGTTTTGCGCAGGGTGAAAGACAAGCAAACTTTGTGTTTGCTTGATTCCCACTTTGTTTACTTCAGAAAATCAGTACATTGCGCACATTGAGAGATCAGATGACAGTCCTGGTTGTGTGTTAACTTGAAAGCCGCTTATTCAACCTTTTCCTGGTTATCCAATTATCACTTCACAGCTTTCTTTTGATGCCGGGTGAAATATTTTTTACGCTTTTTTGTTGGAAGAATTTTTAAGTTTATTTTACTGTGAATAAAATTAATCGAAATTCGTTATAAGCACACCATCAAATTATTCACCCTGTACCGGAAACCTGGAATCAAACTCGAGACGACCGCATTGGCAAACCTTGATACTACCAACTTAGCTACATCAACACAAAGAATGCCATGTAAACAAATCTGAATGCCCTTCTACAACAAGATCGCTGAGTAGAGGTTTTATAATAGTGCATATGAATCACATTTCTCGACTAGTTAGGTCAGCTTTGCATAGGAGTGGATTGAAAGCTGTTAAACTGTACAAAACTAATAATAAACCTAGTTAACTTCAAAAATGCTTCCAAAGAAGCGCAAACACAGTTTATTAGCTGAGTACAGATTGTTTAGTTGTCGAAAAAGCACTTTTGATGTTTATGTTATTCAGCCAGAGTGGTTGGTTCTGTAAAGGCTGACTAAAAGTAAATTGGTACGCACAAAAGACCTGTAATTCGTTATTCAATAAGTTCAAAAAGTCCATTAATGGTTGCTTTAAAGTACTTTTATTAAACTTCAAAGGTTGCATTTGGTTACATTTCTCCAGTTCGAAGAAAAATCTCGAACCTTCCATCAGCACCCGCATGGTCGACCCGCATTTCTTCCATTTTGCCCGCATTTTCTGGATGTCCTTGACTGCCCTGCCGCTTTGTCGAAGTCGCTGCTTTGAAATTGCCCAGCATTTTTCGATTGTTCGAAATTCCGGCCAATTCGGAGGATTCATTAGCTTGGGGACAACATCGATCTTGTTGGCAGCATACCACTCCAGAACCACCTTGGAGTAGTGGCAGCTGGCCAAATCGGGCCAAAAGATCACTTGGCCCCAATGCTTGTGGATGATCGGAAATCACGCTTTTTCAGGCATTCTTCGAAGTAAACTTGGGATGTCATCGTCGAGGATGTGACGAATGGTTCCATTTTCAGGCCACAACTGCAAATCACTTGCCAAATCATGGCCTTCTTCACGAACTTGTCGGCAAACATGAACTCTAATCTTCCAGGCACATCCTCACGTCCAGTCGTCATGTAAAACTTTTGACCGGGAAGGTGCTTAAAATCGAGTTTGACGTATGTTTCGTCATCGATCTAAGAGCAGCCCTTGTATTTCATCAAATCACGGTCGTACAAGAGCCTTGCACGCTTTTTGGCCACGGGATTCGGCTTCATGTGCCGGTTCGGATGTTTACTGGCTTTGTACGACTTGTATCTTTCCCTGGCAAGGATTTTCCGCACCGTTTGAAAGTTGACGTTGTACCTTCTGGCCACATATCGGATCGAAAGACAGGGTTGGCTTTAACGCACCTCAGCACCTTGCACACTGAGGGTTTTCTGGTAGGTTTTGAGCACTAGACAAATTGTTGTTTTCGGCATCTTCAGCACTTTAGCCCACTTGGAACCGGACCACTCCGGATTTTCCAGGTGTTTGTGCACAATGTTTTTCTTCTTTCGAGTTCCATTTGATGTTATTTCTGAACGTGATCGACTACTTTGATCAAACTTGCACCAGTTGTTCTCTTTAGAAGTGTAAACAAACTAAAGGGTGATACGGTCAAAATTTGGTCAAGGGAAAACGCGTGTAAATCGGTGAAATCGTTTATTTAAAAAATCAAATTAAATTTCTTTTTCAAGTTCAATTAGTATAAAATTCAGGAAAAATATTCAGTTAGGCTTCCGCTTTTCCAAATCCGAATTGCCGGGCCTTACGCTTGACCCCTGCCATCAGATTTTGTACAGCCACCTTGTCCACCTTCTTCGCCGCAGAAAGCCAGTTTGCCTTGAACTGCTGCTCGCCCTTAGCAGTTTTTTTGGTCTTCTTTAGGTTCCGCTTGACAATAGCCCAGTATTTCTCAATTGGGCGGAGCTCTGGCGTGTTGGGAGGGTTCTTGTCCTTGGGAACCACCTGCACGTTGTTGGCGGCGTACCACTCCATGGCCTTTTTACCGTAATGGCAAGATGCCAAATCCGGCCAAAACAGTACGGAACAACCGTGTTTCTTCAGGAAAGGCAGCAGACGTTTATTCAAACACTTTTTCACGTAAATTTCTTGGTTGACAGTCCCGGAAGCTATGAAAATGCTGCTTTTCAAGCCACAGGTACAGATGGCTTGCCAAACCAGATATTTCTTTGCGAACTTTGACAGTTTCATGTGCTTGAAAACATCTGCTACCTTTCCCCTTCCTTTTGCCGTATAAAACTCCTGTCCCGGAAGCTGCTTGTAGTCGGCTTTGACGTAGGTTTCGTCGTCCATTACCACGCAGTCAAACTTCGTCAGCATCGTCGTGTACAGCCTCCGGGATCGAGCTTTGGCGATCGTATTTTGTTTATCATCGCGATTTGGAGTCACTACCTTCTTGTAAGTCGATAGTCCGGCTCGTTTTTTGGCTCGATGCACGGTTGTGGACGATACACCCAGCTTATTTGCGGCATCTCGGAGAGAGAGGTTAGGGTTTCGCTTGAAACTACCGGCAACTCTCTTTGTCGTCTCAGCGGCTTCCGGTTTTCGATTTCCCCCCGATCCAGACTTCCTGGCTGTCGACAAACGTTCCCCAAACACTTTAATTACATTTGTAACGGTTGATTTGGCAACTTTTAGCGATTTTGCCAACTTTGCGTGCGAGTAGCTCGGATTTTCGCGATG